TAATTTTATGAATATTAAAATTTTTATAAAATTATTTCATATGTAAAAATATATATATAGGAATTGTCAAAAATACAAGGTAATGAGTATGATTGGGCGAACGAAGATGTCATCATAGTTTCTTAGATAAGTGCACAATCAATTCAATCTACAATCTTGGTAAAAAAATCTTATATATTTATGTTCATTTTAGGCAATTTGTTGCTGATTATTAATTTCATTTATTATTAGAATCATTTCAACGAAGTGGAAACGATTAGATTTGCTAGATCCCTTTCAGTCGGACAAACTCTGGTCCTTCTAATCAAATATTATGATACTCATACTGCTCGAGCTGCCAAAGAATCAATAAATGGTATAATTATTGAGGTATCTTATATTTGGTGATTTATTCAATTATTTTAATTCTATCGTTTATAATTCAGTATTTATAAATGGGAAATCAATAGGAAACAAACGAATTGTTTCTAAGTAACTTTTTTTTATTTTAATTCTATAACTGTGTCAAATTAAAAAAAAGTTACTTAGAAACAATTATCTTTTTCTATTGTCCTCATCCTCATATGTTTATAATTCATTCATTTAGTTATATTTATAATTCATTATTTATTTATTTTTATAAATTTGTTAGTTTATTTACAATTATAATTTCCTATAAAAATAGGGGGTTCAAATCCGTGTTCAATATTACGATGCTGGATCACATTTATGAGATGCGGTTGTTGAAGATTTCAAACATCATCAAAAAATTAATTTGGCCATTCCTCCACCCCGCGTATATTTCTGGTTGCCTCTTCACCAGGCTTAGAAAATAAGTTTGAAGATATGGCAAAGGTTTCTCTATCCACGCTTAAAAATAGTACCGTGATCTCGTCTGATAATAGAGCTATCCCCAAGAAAAATACTCTAGATATTGAAAGAATTAGAAATGGTATTTTTATTTTTATTGTCTCTAAAGGATAGGGTGAACTTTGAGCAAACTTTATTTTTTGATACACCTGCACCTATCTTTTGATATATCTAACGTATCCTAACCAATAGCTTGCATGTTATTATAGTAAAGGTTAGAAAGGGTATATTGAGATGTGTCAAAAAAGTAAACTTTGTAGATTATTACCATTTTACTAATAATAATTAAATGACAATTCATAATATGAATTGCCATGTAATTAATCAGAATTGAGAACTTTGATAATAAGATTTTGATAATAATTGGTTAAGTTGTTAAAAAGTTTCATCAGGAGCATCTTTTACTTACTATGTATGTAAAAATTTTATTTTTCTATAGGCCTTGATGATTGTACCACATTAATAATCAGAAACATTCCAAACAAGTACAATCAGGTACGTACATATTCATTCTTTTATTAATAGACATATTGTGTTGTTGCTTACTTGTGTAAAATTTAGTGAATGCTGTTGGATTTGCTCAATGAGACCCATTGTGGTCAATACAATTTCGTCTACTTGCATATTGATTTTAAAAACAAATGCAATATCGGATACGCTTTTATTAACTTTGTGGATGTCAGGTAAAATTCTTCTTTATATGTCTTATGATTTTTCCTTACTCTATTATTTATATATTGTTTAAAAGTGCCGTACTTTCCTTTGTTGAAGCACGTGTTGGAAAAAAATGGTATGTTCATTTCCGTTATTAACCCAAGTTTTTATACAATTATTACGCAATCCTTGTGACAAATAAAACTGTTTTTAAAGGCCGAGCTTCAACTCTGACAAGATTTGTGAATTATCGTATGCCAATGTTCAGGGCACAAATGCGCTCATCCAAAAGTTTAGAAATTCGTGGTATATATATCAAAAAAGAGTTTTTTTGTAAATTTCATCATCGTAAAATAGTATTATAATTATTATTTTTAGCATTATGTCAGAAGCTCCCGAATACCATCCTAAACTTTTTTATATCACGGATACTATGCGCGGTTATGAAGTTCCCTTCCCAAGACCCAATAACGTTGAAAAACAAATTGTACTGAGAAAAATATTTCAAAAATAATAGGAGTTCTTGTAGTTCGTTAAGGAAAGCACTTAGTTTTGTGCCTTATTTATTTATTTTTATTTTTACTATTTGTTTACAAATGTTATGTTATATTTATATGTTAGACATAGAAATGTATCACGTACCATATGTGAGAAAAATTCAGGTATCACATCTCGCCATAAGGCATCGTTACTTTTTTTTTGAGAATTAATAGATTCTTTTAAAGGACAATGTTCAAAAGCCAAATGATCTTATGATTTTGCCATCCTATGGAACTGTGAAATTATCTGAACTTGTGACTCAGAAGTTCGATGAAAAAAGATAAAATAGAGGATTGTTTTTTTCTGAATAAAGACAGCTATTTTACGACCATTAATGCTTTTTAGAGTTTGGAATTTGTGACTCCTTTATCAAGATTCCTTTAGAAAAGTTAGTTAATTTAGGTCATTGATGAGCCTTAAAAACAAAAGTCACAAAAATAATACAATTCATTAAAAACTCAGTTCATTCTTTGATGGTGTCTTGATGCCGTAGGAAAATGAAATGAGTAATAAAATATTATTGATACCAAATTAAGCTTTATGTAGAGCTCTATGTAGGCCAAAATATTAAACTACACCGTAGAATTACTTTGTTTATTGAATTAACCAAATTAAAAATTTTTAAGAATTTTATTTTTTGCTTCGTTGCCTTAGTCCGATTTCATGTGAACCATTTCTATCTTGTCTCTAACCCTGATATTCTATAATAATGAAGTAATTAGTCTACTCCAACCCTAAAGTTGATTTGATAATTGTAAAAATCCACCTATACTGTATTGTCTCGAAATAATGCCCAGGGTGTAGGTTAAAATTTTGGCCGAATTAAGCCTAAATTAAGCTTAAGTCAGGCCAAAATTTTAACCTACACCCCAGAGTGTTATTTCGAGACAGGTATGAAAAATTAGCCAATCTGGAATGAAAACCAGTAAAGCACAATACAATTATAAATATGAAATCATGTGTAATGATAAAAATAATCATATGGTAGTTTGAATAATCTCTAGTGACATGCTTCTGTGGTACCTCTAAGGAAATTATAGAAACACCCAAAGAAAAATAGAATTACATATAACAGTTCATATACGTAATCTGTTAACATATCAATATATTTAAGTCTGATTAAT